TTGAATGTTGGGGTTTTATTTGTTTAGTAGTCTAGTGGCAAGCACTAACAGTTGATGGCAAATTACCTTGGGTAATAACAAAGTCATGGTCAAAAATGTCTATTGATTCAAGCTAACAGACTATTTATCCCTGATTTGATCTGAATTGTTAGTGTAGTAAATCAATGCACCATGGATTAGTGGCAATCCCAGTGGCTATTAACCCTTTAAATCCCAGGGGTGATCAAAATAAAATTTCTCATCACAATACCAATACATTATCAAGCAAACAGGTGATAAGTCAATAAAGAAAATCATCACTTAAGTGACACTGTCCAGATGTACCACCAGTTTCTCATAACTGATATTAAAAGAACTGTATGGCTGTAAGTAAGAAGAAATCACATTTTGAACTTGGGACTGAACTAAAAGATTAAGAAAACTATTTTATAGTAAATGTACTGCAGGCTAGTACATTTCCAAAGTAGCTGTCTCAGTGGTTATAAATTCAGTGTAAGAGATTTCCTGCTTCAGTATATATACTAACAGTAAGTGTGTTGTAGGTTAGTGAATGCAAGGTTGAATGTTGTGTACATGTACATGTACTCCCTGTGCATTTCAAACAGTTACATGAGATTGAGCAATAGGTACTCATGCTTCTTTCTGCTTGAAAATATACGTAGTTAACAATTTACATGTACTAAAGAAAAATGCAAGCCGGCTCTTTACTTGTGGCAATAGCGATACAATTCTTCACCCAATAATGAAAATGAAAGTAAGGTGTTTGATTGAAAGTTTGAATGTATCATAAAGTTATACAGTGTGGCTAGTAATAATTTAATCACTTATGATGTGGGAGACATTATTACAATAATAAACTAATACTGAATAATCACAGATTATGCTAGGGCCACTTGCAGCCTGCAGTATAAGATGGATTATATGAAGATAAAGGAGACAAATAGGTTGGTAACACATTGTTATATGAGGCGACTGTTCTGAAGTATATTTGTTATTTATGATCATAACAATAAAATTGCACATTGCATTATCTTTTCCCACAAATCTCATGCAATATTATTTGGAGAAGTACTTGATTATCAGTTTATCCCAAAGATGTTTCATTTTGATAATCCTTCAGGATCTTCATAAATACTCTTGGACCCTGTAAGGATCCTGCCATGATCCTCAAGGAATCCTGTTAAGAACTTTTTTAAAGCTCCTGGGTAAATTCTTATCACATCTTTGATGTTGCTGAAAGATCCTTGCAAAGATCTTTACACTAATCTTTGCTGTGATCTTTGTTGAGATTCTCTTCATATAGAAGGCCATCAAGGAATGTCCTGCAAGGCTCATCAGGTAAGCCAGGCAATAGTAAACCCAATGAGGAACAGTAGTCAAGACTGAGATAATTATCTGAATGACACTTGAGAACTCACAAAGATTTGGCTTTGAGAAGAATAATTTTATGAAAGCTTATGGTAAAGACAAAACCAACCTAGTTACAACATTGAGCAATTATTTTACATAACCACCATCCTAATGGTGTATTCAAGTTAGGAATTGGACACTTCTTAATGTATCATTGTATGAGTGAATTCAAAGCATAGGCACACATTCAGTCACAACATAACATGTATTTATGGTAACGCAGCTAGTTTATGAGTACATATGCTGCTATGTGAAAGAATGAAGGTTGTAGGAAGTTAGACAATTATTATAAACTATAACTTGATGTATTGTACAACAAAATATTCTCACTTTATATTAGATAATACAGCAGTGATATTTATGCATGAATGGTTCATATGTGAACTGTCACTGACTTGAGGTAGTGACTACACTTTCCTTACAGCTTGGAGCATTAGCGAACAATTGAATTTTGAAAGCCTTTTTACACTGGTAGCTTTGCTTTGTACACATGGCTGATTCCAGGGTGTGCACATAAAACTGTTTCCTTAGGAAGGTTTAAAAAACAATTTATTTGCATAAATACTTGTTAAACCCGCCCCGTTTCCCACAGACTAATGATGATGATGATGACAACAATGACGATGACAATGACGATGATGACAGCAGTCACCAAAACTCAGCCATTTCTGGAAATTTGCCCCTATGATGGTTAAAACTATCTTTTTTCTACACAAAGCTTTAATTTGACTGTAAAGTATTGACCTTGTGAGGGAGACCATGACCTGGTCCACCCAACCTGCCGTCTAGACTACAGTGTAGCCATCGGGTATTGCCACATGGGTCATTTTCTGTTAGAAACCTTTCCACAAATGCCTTGATAAGCAGGATCCTGTTACGCCTTGACATTCCACATCAAGATTTCTGCATGGCTTGTTGAACACAGCAATTCCCCTGATGGTGCAAACTTTACATTGTTAACAACATCACAGTGTCCCAGAAAGTCTTGAAAACTTCCCTCACTGTAGTCCATAAGTTTGACAAGTCGTTCTAGAAACATGGCAAAACAGATAATCAAAGTCAGTATGACTATGGTAAACATAACTCTTTCAATGACTTGTCGTTGAATAAAGTTATTACTTAAGAAAATGTTACTATGTGAACCCTTTCACTCTCAGATTGACCTATTGGGTAACCACTCAGGTGGTTACTCAGTTGTGTTTCAAGTACTGTTTAATACATTGTACAAGGTGGTTCTAACTTGAAAGTCTGTAAAAGAAACTGCAATGTGTATTATAACCATTTCAACGAAAATTATTGAAAAGTAATGTTATGCCATAGTAAGTCTATTTGGAATTTTCTTGTATGTATTTTTATACTCTTATTCCTTCCTGTTACAGTAGGTATACATATGTCTGTAACTGAAATTCTAGTCAGTAGTGGCATCTGTCACTATTTAAACCATCTAGACACTATTAAACAGAACTCTTCTCTGATGCAGCTTGTACCTTCTGTTGCAAAAGCAATGAGATGCCCTTTGGGTGATATATCCATGGACGTCACCCACTGTGTCAATGGAGCAGCGCGTACTACCTGAAAAGAGGCATGTTAAGAGTCAAAGTTATTCACTGATGGGAAGCCAAGACAGAAAAATATTATCACCATGAGTATAGGAATAGTCCAGTTTCAAATTCGCCATGACCGCTGATTAAAAGCACTGAGAATGCATTTGCATAGGGTTAGCCTTGACCTAAAAAAATATTCACAAATTAAACAATACACGGAGCTGTAAACAGGTCATCTTCTCACTGGAATTTGTAAATATTTTACTTTAGGTCAAGGTTAACCCTGTGCAAATGTGTTCTCAGTACTCTTAAGCAGCCATCATGGCGAATTCGAAACTGGACTATTGCTTGTTATTTTCTGTTCAATGATTGCATTGCCACTAATTTACTAGAAAGTAAGTGAAACTGCAAAAATGAACTTAAATAACTTAAAACTTAAAATAAGGGGCATGGAAAGAAAAAGGAACAGATAATGAGAAGAAATGATAGTAAAAGTGATGGATGACATTTGGCTTGATCCACAGTACCTTTTTCTGAGACAGACTGTAGAACTGCACAACTTTTTGCATTCCATAACCAGTGTAGACAACAATGTCAGGGTCTGTAGGAGAGAACTGAGCCAGGCTGGGAGGTAGCTGAGAAAACTGAGCCTATAAAAGGAGATTATTAAACAATGTATTAAGCATTGTAGTGGGCAACATTAAGACTGAAAATGCATGACAATGATGCCAGTCATGCTTCAGACCTTGCCCTCTTGAGTCTAGTGTACCTGAATGTTAGACTGATTGACACTCCAGTTTACCAGGATAGGGTTCAAGTTAGCCTGTTTACAGTTAACTCCAATTTATTATCGCATTAAACATGATATATTCTTAAAATACTCATTGTCGCCTCAGTAATTTAATACTTTATTTTCTGAACAAAAACGCATTAAAGTAAGACAACCAGTCTCCCCAATACCAGCTACTGTATGGTTTATATTCATATGTGAAACAGAACATAAGTTTCACAACAATATTGTTGTGTGACTACACACGTACAGGGTCTCCCCTCCTGATAGCTTTTCCATCCAGTCCAATGGGTGGGGCAGGGAACGTCAGCCAGTCAACCAACTCACAGAAGTCTTTGGACCAATCAGCACTCCAGATACTAACACGACGATCAGCACTTGCTGCCAGCCACAACAATGGAGATGATAAAGAGTACTGTTGATCCTGAATTAAGGCAATCCAAAAATTACTGAAACCAAGTGTAAACAGCAAACCAGAAATAAACTACACATCTAGGCAGACTTTCAAGGAAGACATAATATAATGATTCAGTTTGGCATGCCTCCTACTAGCAAGTGCTCCCCCTTGAGTGCTGTTTTATTAACAAGCACCTGTATTAAAAGATGTGATCCCTTACAGCACAGAGCAGAGAAGAATTTAGTAGGACCAGATTGCAGGTTAACCACAACCATCTATTCCTCTAAGACCCTTACGAAACCACTGTTAATAAGGGGAATGATTGTGAAGCCCAAAAAAGTTCTTTGTTGTATGTTTTTGGTCTTGACAGTGCACAAAGCACAACTACAGCTGTTTCGTTACGATTAAGGAAAAAAAAACAATAGAAACACAGAGTTGTGGGCCTTCCAAAATAAATCTCCTTCTATAGCCCACTGAAAATGAAAGTTCGGAAAGCTACATTCACCTTAACAGATGATGCATGAATGCATGTGATTGGTGCTCCCTTATGGTCATTCAGTAGTCTGACTGTCAGCCCTGTAGAGGGACTACTTATTGCCAGTAAGCCATCTTCTGCTCCACTGATTATCACTCTTCCTGCATAGTTTACAAAAATACAGGGGGTTCATTAGCATTTACAGCAGGAGGGCAGCAGGTTTTCACAGGCAGGCAAAACATTTTGAACAGAACTTCTCTATGAGAAAAACCTTCCTCTAAATGGTCAGACCAGGCAGACAAAATCATCCTCACAGGCGGTCAATATGCCCTGAGCCCGACCCTTAATGAAACCCCTGAAAATATTGAATATTATCAAAGAAAATTTAAATATGAAACATTTCCTGTGGTTCACTGGAGAAACAGAGGGTCAGAAATGATTGTAGTGAAGAATACAGCTACAGCTTTCAGTACATGCAAGTGTTAAAAAAATTTGAAAATATAGAAATAAGCTCTACTTGTACTTTTGCAATTTTAAAATGAACATCTAGTAAATTCTTTGAATGAACAGTAGCTATAGAAAATCAAAATAAATAAAGCATGCTCATAATTGGATGAATTTCATTCTGTAGAATTAATAACCTTTGGACCTACATTTGCAGCTTTATAAAATTTGATGATTAATAATATAGTGGCCACATGTTTGGATTGCTTCAACTTACTGCAAGTCTTTTTACATCTACAACTTCAATAGTTTTTCAAGGCAGGACCAATTCTTGCTTAAAGTAGGATTGTCAATCCTTACTAGGCCTCACACATCATGTTCTTACCGTGAGCTGAGAATGATATTGCAGTAACTGAAGCAGCGTGAGGTTGCATCTTCATGATCATTTCCACTTTTCCCAGGTCAAATATCCTGATGGTCCCATCGCTGTATCCAGCTGCACAGTGTGATGGGTGAATCACAGCCTCATCACCAGGCTGAGGTTGTGGATGGACAGTGGCTACTGTCTGTCCTTCATTTGTGACTGACTTGGTGGGAAAGGCTGCAGGCACTGGACTGAATGACACACAATTGCAGGTCTGGAAAGACAAAATTTACATATGGCTATTATTATTAGGTATATACCTTGTTGTGAATGAAAATCCAGGATAGGAAATAGGAGGGATGTGTGTTGCATTTGTAGCCCTTCATGCAGAAAAGTTGCTTCAGGTAAAGTTAACAAGCCTCAAGCCTCAGCGACAGAGACATCATTTATGACAACAAGTACTGAAGAAGATCTGAATGATGTTCTTTCTGACTCATCAAGAGTCAGCAGGGGCAAATAGATGAAGCACCAAATGAACAATCGAACTAAACAAGAAACAACTCAACAAAGAAATGGCAATGACCAGCTGCATGAAATTATGAATGACAAATTACAACTTCAATTTGAGCCCCACACACTTACATAGAGTTTGTAACACTTTGAAAGCTTTTCACAAATTCATCTTGAACAGGTTTGTACCAAAATTCATTTTAATATAATATTAATAATATTATCCAATTGCCAGTTAAATTTTTACTACAGCCAAAAGATTTTCATACTTGTCCAAGAACTTGAAACTGCAGATGTTCCAAGCTATCCCTGCTCCACAGATGTAGAATACCATCAGTGCTACATGTAGCAAAATATTGATCATCAGGACCACTGAAAAGCAGGTCATTAATCTACACAGGACAAAGAGAAAGAGGCTGTTACTGATTGCTGTTTAGCTCACTTAAATCTGCTCCCTTTTTCGACATAAACTGATCAATTATTCTGTTGGTCTCATCAAATGGCATTATCTCAGTTTAAGTTTTTTTCTTTGTAACATTTTCTCAATACATTAATTTTTGTGAGTAAATGCATATTGTGAGTAAATATAGATCTCTCTTCATATGTTCTATTCTTTTCCAACCTGAGGAAACCAGCAAAAAATGCTGGCGACATCAAGCAAGTTTACTTAAATGTATGTAAAGCTCACCCGCTGGGCGTGACCACTGACTAGCCTGATGCTGGTTCTTTCATCCCAGTTAACATACCATAATGTACCTGATGAGGTGCCAATTATACCCTGGAAAAAATGGCATTCCACAGCAATGACAATAATTTTCTAAAGTAATGAATATTAAGTAAAAGTGATTATCATAAGCATTTTTGGCATTTGTGTGCAGTGGCTCTAACACCAGGATGTCAGTGGACTGTCCGCTGACTTGTTCATCAAAAGTCTGCTGGAAGTTTAACAACTGTCTAAACTATTCACTCATTCACTGGAAAACCAAAATTAATCACAGCTGTTGATTTCTTCAATTGCAAACATACAGAAGCTGAGGATGGGTGTGTACATAAGACATAACACCCAACTTTCAAAGGTTGCCTTTCAATTTTCTACGACTCATTTATGCAACTGTGTGTCTAGAGTAAAACACTGTGGGAGTACCATGTCACCCCAGCAGGCTAGAACATGGGCTCTCAATCAAAAGTCAGATCATTTGTACTAGAGCCATCCGTGGTCAAGTGTCAATCAATACTCAGACAAGATCTGATCAACACAGTAAGTTAATAGTTGGCTGAGTATTGACCAACTCATACATTATGTATTAATGACGGCCACTTAATGGTGTGTCTGTGAAAAACTGCAAAAATCGACCAAGAAATTGATCGAGTGTTGATTGTGTGTCAACAGAGGTGTCGATCAAGTGTCAATCAAGTATCAATTGACACTCGACTGTGGATGCCTTGAATGATCTCCAGTGGCTAACACACTAATCACTGGCCCAGTACTTTACCTGCCATGACCTTCTTCACAGGAAAAAAAAAAGTGAATGAAATCTATGTGAGCATAATATTATTGACAGAAAAGAACTACAATGGTTGTGATTGGCTCACAGTTTCTAGGGCTTCATCAAATGAAGCAGAAATGATAGCTCCGTCTAGTGTCATTTCATCTTCCATCACTAGGCCATTACTTGATAACCTAAGAAAACAAGCCATATTTTAGCCACAAGCTTGCCTTGCCCAATTAATTTTGCCACATTGACAAGCAAAAGATTTCCACATAATATTACTTGCTGAAACAGGTAGTTTATGACAATCATTCAGTTCAGTTCTACTACGATCAACAAGGTAGAGTTCATTTTATCTGTATTTTCTGCACATAATGGACCTGTATGTGTGTCCTATATTGGGGGAGAAAATTTGATTACAAGTGAATGCTATTTAAGAGAAGTTTAAGAAAAGTTTAAGTTTTAAATTAGTTAAGGTTTATGAAACCTACTGTACGCAACAATTGAAAATACACGATAAAGAGAAAGCCTTGCTGTTTGACAAAGCCTAAGGTTTGAAAAAGACTATGGTTTAAACTACCTGCTGGGCTCTCCAGGAAGTCGCATTTCATTCACGCCTATCGTAGACCACAATCTGAGATTTCCTGTTATGCTGCCAGCCATAAGAGTACCTCCATGGCCTATGAGTACACCTGTAAATATCATTCAAAGTTAGAATTTATTTGCTATAGAAAGAAGGTTCAAACAAACTAAAGAAAGAGAAACTAATCATGGGATACTGGACAAATGACATATACATAATAATATGACAAATAACTCATTAATCAAGAGCATAAAATTACTATTAGTACATAATTTACTTTAAAGTGCACTTTGATCAACATTATTTGAGTGAGAATTGTATAAAGCATATTTTGTTATGCTGCAGAAGCAGTGCTTCCATTAGCTTATTCTGCATTCTGCCATCAGGGGGTACACACTGAAAAATTTGCAAATTCTCCTCAACTCACTAATAATTTATCAAGTTAACACAAAGGAAATTGCAATTGTCATGATGGTTTGAATATCTGATCTTAATTAGCATAGATTTTTATCATCTCAGTGAAACTGTTTAATGGTACTTCTTAGTTTTAGATTTGATTGAGAAGATAATATATCAAAAAGTGTTTCATCAGAATTTCTCAACACCTCTAGTTTTGTCAATTGAAAATACTCTACTGCACATCAAATTATCCAACCCTTCATGGCATATGGAAATGTGACAACACAAAGTTTCCAATGTTTGAAATGTATCACCTACCAATTTCTGAGGAATCTCCTTCCCAGTGTATGAAGCACTTGTTTTGTCTGGTATCCCATGCAGATAGCATTCCTAGATTGAATAATAAAAAAAGTTCAAAATGACAGTCTAGTTGTAAGCAAGGTTCTGTATAAATTGACTGTCACTGAATCTAGTGGATTCTAGTCCATTGCAAGCAAATAGCTCGCAGGGTTTTTGGTACATGTAGTTTGCCCCAACACTTTTCTTGTACCCATTTATGCTCTTAGGTGGACACAGCCATTGATGTAGAGACAATAATGGAGAGCATCAGTGTACCTATAAGACACTTTGAAAATCGAAACAAACACAGTAGTTGACATACCTGAGCTGGTAGCAGCATACATGACACTGTCTCCTGCATACCACAAGGCTGTAAAATCATAGTGCTCATCTCTCTACAAAACAAATGAAATTATGTTGTTTTTGTTGTAGATTGTTACAGATAGGAAAGTAAAACATGCACCTGAGCCCAGTTTTTTAAAAGCGTCGATAATTTATAATACTGTGTTAAGTTAACAATACTACTTGCACTTAACAATAATATTATTAGTCAGATTTATTTATGAGCTCAAACTTGCTTTTTTGTGGGAGGTGTGGTGGCCTCATGGTTAGTGCACTCATTCCCAGAGCGAGCGGTCTGGGTTAGAACCCTGTTGGGGAAACTTAACAAATTGCAGGGGAGTGACCTGCAATGGACTAGCATCCCGTCCAGGAGGAGTAGAAATACTCCTTGCCACTTCATGCTTCAGAAACCAGGATAAGCTCCGGCAACTATGAGCCATTCAGCTCCAAGGCTTCACTTTTCCTTTTCAAAATTTCTTTTGCATGACAGTTGATGATGGTGCAGTCTTAGTCAACTATCACACACAGAAATCAAGATTGAATGATCTACTTGTTTCAGTATAAATCTCCTAAATCTACAGTAAATTATCTAACTCCTTTTCCTAGACACTTCAAAAATGCAAAAAAAAAAAGAAGAAGCTACCACTTTTTTAACAACCACACAGTGGTACAGTAGGCTTCTCACTATCTACAACAGAATAGACAGTGAGTAGTGTAACCAGTAAGAGAATGGCAATCATGATAGAATGCTTACCTAGATTTATTCTGATATCTAACAGATAGTGATTTTGTGTTGAATAGCATTATCCACTAGATAGCAATGCTTTCTTACTCTATTTTATGCCTATATTAAGTTTAAAACCAAGTAACTCAACAATCATTCCTTTCCTTATCATTGCCCTCTTTATAGATGAAATATCAAATCAACTTTTATAATTTCCTAGAAAGGAAATTCAAAGCAAGCCTGCAGCCTAGCAAATGAAAGGACTTGAAATCTGTCTTGATGAGCAAAATAAAAGAGGGGCAACCAAAACAAACAGTACTAAAAGCAACATTTTGTCTATCAAACCTTACCACTTTCCTGGACTGCACTAGTTCCTTTGGCACTTCTGGCTCGTGAACCTAAGTTACAACACAATTTTCATGAACCTTAGAAACATTGTAATTCAAAAAAGGAGAAAAGAAAGACAAAGACAGAAAGAGAATAAAAAAATTAGTCTCCAATGAATGTTCAAGTATTAATATAAATGATTCTACAAAATGATGAAGAAAAACACACTACCCCTCTGTTATCACTTATTAAACTATAAAATTATGTAGAATGGTTTTTTCCCCTAAAACTGGGCATTATTTGGAAATCCACTTGGTTAAGGCTTGACAGACAGTACGGAAACATGTACAAGGAGCTTCAATTTGTTATCATTGAGGTACATGTACACAACAGTCTTTCCACAGTAAGGACTCTCTTACTTTGAAGCATGTAAGAGTGGAGTGGATTTTTACAATGTAAGTACCAACTCAAGCTGCCCACTTGACGGCAATCATGGTCAGAAAAGAAGTGTGTTTGTTGAGGTAGACAGAACAGTCTTTTAATTTGCTGTTTTTCTTTCTTTTCAGATTGGATCTTGATGCATAAGTCTATGGCATGATCAGGAGTAACAGCACTCTAACACAGTCAAGTAGCATATAACTGCCCACTATGTTAAATGACACCTGTGGAGACTTACATTAAGAGTCATTTTATCACCAGTCTCATCAAGGAGCCAAAACAGTACAGAGCCATCTTGCCCCACAGAGGTAAACTCATTAGCAGTATACGGATCCCACATGACATCGTGAACAGGATGTCTGGCATAGGATGCAGCAAGTACTACCAGATCTCTAGTGCACCACACTACCACAGAACACTCCCTGTAATCACCAACTGACACAAGGAATCTGTCATCACGGGCATATGCCAAGCAGACTATCTCATGCTCATGGTAGGACAAAACCTAAAATTTCAAAANATACATAATAATATGACAAATAACTCATTAATCAAGAGCATAAAATTACTATTAGTACATAATTTACTTTAAAGTGCACTTTGATCAACATTATTTGAGTGAGAATTGTATAAAGCATATTTTGTTATGCTGCAGAAGCAGTGCTTCCATTAGCTTATTCTGCATTCTGCCATCAGGGGGTACACACTGAAAAATTTGCAAATTCTCCTCAACTCACTAATAATTTATCAAGTTAACACAAAGGAAATTGCAATTGTCATGATGGTTTGAATATCTGATCTTAATTAGCATAGATTTTTATCATCTCAGTGAAACTGTTTAATGGTACTTCTTAGTTTTAGATTTGATTGAGAAGATAATATATCAAAAAGTGTTTCATCAGAATTTCTCAACACCTCTAGTTTTGTCAATTGAAAATACTCTACTGCACATCAAATTATCCAACCCTTCATGGCATATGGAAATGTGACAACACAAAGTTTCCAATGTTTGAAATGTATCACCTACCAATTTCTGAGGAATCTCCTTCCCAGTGTATGAAGCACTTGTTTTGTCTGGTATCCCATGCAGATAGCATTCCTAGATTGAATAATAAAAAAAGTTCAAAATGACAGTCTAGTTGTAAGCAAGGTTCTGTATAAATTGACTGTCACTGAATCTAGTGGATTCTAGTCCATTGCAAGCAAATAGCTCGCAGGGTTTTTGGTACATGTAGTTTGCCCCAACACTTTTCTTGTACCCATTTATGCTCTTAGGTGGACACAGCCATTGATGTAGAGACAATAATGGAGAGCATCAGTGTACCTATAAGACACTTTGAAAATCGAAACAAACACAGTAGTTGACATACCTGAGCTGGTAGCAGCATACATGACACTGTCTCCTGCATACCACAAGGCTGTAAAATCATAGTGCTCATCTCTCTACAAAACAAATGAAATTATGTTGTTTTTGTTGTAGATTGTTACAGATAGGAAAGTAAAACATGCACCTGAGCCCAGTTTTTTAAAAGCGTCGATAATTTATAATACTGTGTTAAGTTAACAATACTACTTGCACTTAACAATAATATTATTAGTCAGATTTATTTATGAGCTCAAACTTGCTTTTTTGTGGGAGGTGTGGTGGCCTCATGGTTAGTGCACTCATTCCCAGAGCGAGCGGTCTGGGTTAGAACCCTGTTGGGGAAACTTAACAAATTGCAGGGGAGTGACCTGCAATGGACTAGCATCCCGTCCAGGAGGAGTAGAAATACTCCTTGCCACTTCATGCTTCAGAAACCAGGATAAGCTCCGGCAACTATGAGCCATTCAGCTCCAAGGCTTCACTTTTCCTTTTCAAAATTTCTTTTGCATGACAGTTGATGATGGTGCAGTCTTAGTCAACTATCACACACAGAAATCAAGATTGAATGATCTACTTGTTTCAGTATAAATCTCCTAAATCTACAGTAAATTATCTAACTCCTTTTCCTAGACACTTCAAAAATGCAAAAAAAAAAGAAGCTACCACTTTTTTAACAACCACACAGTGGTACAGTAGGCTTCTCACTATCTACAACAGAATAGACAGTGAGTAGTGTAACCAGTAAGAGAATGGCAATCATGATAGAATGCTTACCTAGATTTATTCTGATATCTAACAGATAGTGATTTTGTGTTGAATAGCATTATCCACTAGATAGCAATGCTTTCTTACTCTATTTTATGCCTATATTAAGTTTAAAACCAAGTAACTCAACAATCATTCCTTTCCTTATCATTGCCCTCTTTATAGATGAAATATCAAATCAACTTTTATAATTTCCTAGAAAGGAAATTCAAAGCAAGCCTGCAGCCTAGCAAATGAAAGGACTTGAAATCTGTCTTGATGAGCAAAATAAAAGAGGGGCAACCAAAACAAACAGTACTAAAAGCAACATTTTGTCTATCAAACCTTACCACTTTCCTGGACTGCACTAGTTCCTTTGGCACTTCTGGCTCGTGAACCTAAGTTACAACACAATTTTCATGAACCTTAGAAACATTGTAATTCAAAAAAGGAGAAAAGAAAGACAAAGACAGAAAGAGAATAAAAAAATTAGTCTCCAATGAATGTTCAAGTATTAATATAAATGATTCTACAAAATGATGAAGAAAAACACACTACCCCTCTGTTATCACTTATTAAACTATAAAATTATGTAGAATGGTTTTTTCCCCTAAAACTGGGCATTATTTGGAAATCCACTTGGTTAAGGCTTGACAGACAGTACGGAAACATGTACAAGGAGCTTCAATTTGTTATCATTGAGGTACATGTACACAACAGTCTTTCCACAGTAAGGACTCTCTTACTTTGAAGCATGTAAGAGTGGAGTGGATTTTTACAATGTAAGTACCAACTCAAGCTGCCCACTTGACGGCAATCATGGTCAGAAAAGAAGTGTGTTTGTTGAGGTAGACAGAACAGTCTTTTAATTTGCTGTTTTTCTTTCTTTTCAGATTGGATCTTGATGCATAAGTCTATGGCATGATCAGGAGTAACAGCACTCTAACACAGTCAAGTAGCATATAACTGCCCACTATGTTAAATGACACCTGTGGAGACTTACATTAAGAGTCATTTTATCACCAGTCTCATCAAGGAGCCAAAACAGTACAGAGCCATCTTGCCCCACAGAGGTAAACTCATTAGCAGTATACGGATCCCACATGACATCGTGAACAGGATGTCTGGCATAGGATGCAGCAAGTACTACCAGATCTCTAGTGCACCACACTACCACAGAACACTCCCTGTAATCACCAACTGACACAAGGAATCTGTCATCACGGGCATATGCCAAGCAGACTATCTCATGCTCATGGTAGGACAAAACCTAAAATTTCAAAANGGGGGGATTTCAAAAATATTATTTTCCTCTCATGTCAAGTCTAGGGGCTCATTGTGACCAGCAACTGGAAAATTAGGGGTGACTCATTATACCTACAAAGCTGTGCTCTAGAAGCAAGCAGGTGCCACTTTTGCCTTTCGGCAACTGGAAAAACTTTCTTTTTTCAAATAAGCTTATTGATAAGCGCTGGGCACGCAGGATGTTATGGTTAAGAACCTTTGGGCTCCTTATAATTTTTCTTAGACCACAGCCTTGACCTAAAACAAAACTTTGGCTCTTGGAAACCTTTGATCTGATCTTGAATTAGTGCAATCCTTTGTGAAAAGTCACAAAGTCTTGTTTCTGTGTGTTTCTTTCTGTCTTGGAGTCTAAAACCATTCAAGGATGATTCTGGATGGAAAGAATCACCATTAGAGTTATCTGTCTTGACATTTGAAGACGATAGAAAAACAATGGCCAGTTCTAGCTTGAAGCAAGAAATTCTGGAGCTTTTGTCAAATTAAAGCACAAGCCATTAAACCACTAAATGTATCATTTTAATAGGCTATTATAAGCACATGTCAGTTGGCATGTTAATTAATATATTTTTTGGCTTGTTATTTAGCTGATAAAATGGGAGCACCAGTTGGATAATGACCCAATGTGGGTCTTAGTAGCATTTTTAAATAACATCATGGCATGTTTGTTTGCACGTGCATAAGGTGCAGGTAGTTCACAAGCTGCCCATTAGGGAGGGCTATTTGATTTAAACTGCAACCTGGTGAATACATAAAATAATTCAAAATTTGCTAGCTTTCATGAAAAGTGATTTTAAGAGAACTTGTAATGAGTACATGTACTTCCTGAAGTATCTCTTCTCCCCTGTAAGTACAGTGTTATATATCATAATATTAAGCAGAAAATAATTAATTGTCAGTAGACTTCCATTAAAACAAAGACATATCAATTTAAAATACACACCTTCTTACACACTCCATCTTTTAAATTCCACAAGCAAATTTGACTGCCTATAGTGTCAGAAGGCCCAGAGGCTGAGGCCAGTATTAGGCCATCATGTTGAAGGGCCAAGGTGGATATCTCTTCTGTGTGCCCCATGAGGTGTCTCTGAGTACCAGAATGAAGGTCCTCTATAACCACAAGGCAACCACTGGTGTATGCAAAAAGTCCTTCATAGAAACCAAAGAACCAAGAGAGGATTTAGAATTTCTAAGGAAAGTCGTGTGTATTTTAAACAGGCTCTAAACATGTCGGAGATAGCCAAGTAAAAAGTTATCTGTGAGTATTGACAGCGGTGTCTAAACTGTCACAAACCCATAAGCATGTGCCAACGAGAAGCTCAAAGGGCTTAGAAATGTGCCTGCTGATTAGGTGTTCAACTACTGAAATTGCTTCTTGTACATGAAAGAACCAGTGCAGTGCTGCAGTGCACTGTTGTGAAACATGTTTAAATATAGTCATGTGAGACAAGCAAAGTTTACCATTTCGTGCTTTAAAGTTGGGGCTGAATTTTCCCCATGATTAGAAACTAATTCAATATTCTTTTTTGACCCCTTCAAGCTAATCCTATGTACAAACTATAATGCCACTGCATGCATGTGTAACCAACAAGTCATTAAAACCTGTGTCATATTTCCAGACCATATTTTTCCTTCCATTTCCATTGTATCCAAGAACAGATTTAAGCTGAAGTCCTGCCTGGTTAGGTGGAGCTGTGTATCTACGCTCGGCCAAGAAGGAGCTGCATGGACGTCGCTTGTAGTGCCTAGTGACCTTGGGGGCAAGATGAACATCAGCATTTGGAACCATTGATCCGGCAACTGCAGGAATGTTAAAGTTTAATCTTCTAGCAGGTGATTTTGTCTTGACAGGAGAAGTCTGGAAGATACAATGAAGTACCATCACTAGCTAATGATTTCCTTTTACTGCCTCCTCTTTCAAATTTGTCTGCCAAACACATTATGGCCTCATTATTTTTGCAAGTGAGTATTTTTCATACTTAGCAACCCTTTTCCAATGTCTGCCTTTATAGTAACACCAAAAATTGCATGTGAGCCAAGTGTATCACACAAGCATTTAATTTAGTTTGGTGTCGAGAATGATTGGTTCTCAGGGGCCAATTTTTTCATTAAGAAAGAACCTGGCTGCTAGTTTGGAAAAGTAAATACATGCAAAGAGTTCTATCACTAACAACTTCTTGGAGTTACTTTTATTAAGCCACAGCAGGTCATTTCAAATTGAGACTGAACATTGAACTGTTCATGCACAGAAACAAAACTTTGCCTTTGAATACAAAACATAACAGACACCAAAAGGTGGAATGAACCAAAGAAAGCTACTTACATGTTCATCAACATGTTCTGGAGTCTGTTTCTGAGGGCTTTTCTTTGGGGAATAACGGTCATGAAATTCACTCTGTGTCGCTCTGTCATGGTCACCTGGAAACCTTTCATCATGTGCATCAGCAGGAATGGGACTGACATCAAACTGAGGAGGTTCAAACCTAGTAGGTATGGGAACAGATTTTCTGGGCGTGACTGTGTGGGGGTGACCACTTGGTGGGCTGTACGGCCTTTCAGGAGTGATTCTCACAGTTCTGTCTGCACAAAAATACAAATGGTAAAGCTTGTTTATCGCAAGGAATAATAATTTTTATAACCAATGTTTTGCCTTGTTGTTAATAATCATTTAATTTCCAATAAATAAACTCTAATAAGCTACCTGGAACTTCAGGGATATAGCTTTTCTGAGGCTCTCGTCCACTGAAAGGAAAACATATGTATTTCAACCAAAAGGTTCCACATTTGAAACCTAATTAAAATTATTCCACAACATCACAGTTTATATCAACTGCAATATCATGAAGCAACTATAGGAGTATCACTACTCCCCCTGGATGGAATTAATGCTACATGTAGTCCACAACAGGTTACTCAACAGTACGGTGGTACAGCATTTATTAATAAGTTTCCTCTCAACTATTAATTTAATCTTAATGAATAATTATATAGATCCACAAAGGTCAAGTTCTAACACATAACCAGTATTAATAATATGTGGGATTGTATACTGAGAAATGTTTACCCATTTATCTGTAGCTGCCTTCCTCTTCCATGGAAATCCCACAGCAAGATGGCCTCACCTATACTGACAAGACCAAGATGGTCTGGAGTAAAAGCTACTTGCTGAATATGGTCTGAATGACCAATAAAAACCTGCAGAAACCAAAGATACAATCATGCAAATTAGTTACATCTCATCTCAGTGGTTTTGGAAGAAGCTTAACTGGTACATGTACCAGAGCTCTGGGTACTCTCATGTTCAAGCATGAGTTGTTTGAAAGNACCAGCTGGGTTGCAAGCCTTACCTCATCCAAAGATCTTGCATTGGCGACTGTCACTGTGAATTCTGTTGGTCCAATGTATGCCAGCTTCAGGCTGTCTTCACTTACACTCAGTACATGTGGGCCAAACTTGCCACCCATCACAACAGTGTTTGGAAGCATGCGAATCAACTGGAATCCATCATCAGCTGCATCATACAGTGCTAGAGCACCTTGAAAACAATCCCACAAAATAATTAATGTCATTACTTGTTGGATTTTCTTTTGTTCAACTTTTAATTGTTACAATCAAAAACCATTTTTAACAGATCCATTGAGACTCACAAAAGCAGTTTACTCAGACCGCATCATTTTAGCTGTTAAAATGTTGCAGATATATGCAATATATAATACCATAGCTTCAATCAATCTTGTTTTACTAGTCAAGATTGATTTCCAATAAAAAATTTGTTAAGGGTAGGAATATGATTATTGTATGCACCACCAGAAGATAACTTAAGACTTCTTACTGACAGCTGATCAGCATACTTCCATCAGCTCTTGGCTTAAACATGCATTAGTAAGCCCAGCTTCAAGTTACTGCAAGTACGCTTCTGTTACACTTCTTGTTACTCTTAAGCTCATCAGGATTCGTACTTTTTAGACATACACAACATTTAAACTTGTTGAAGCCACTTTGTCTTAAGCATTACCTAGTGCTCCTGCACTGTGTAGGAACTCTCCATTAGGGGTGAACACCAAGCCAGTCACTTGACCAGGATGTTGGTTATGCTCCGCTAAGAGATTTGTAGTTCCAACATGAAACACTCTGACACAGCCAGACATGAATCCACAGGCAAAACACTGCTGTTGAGGATGATACGCAATGGCACAGGGAAGCTCTCCTGGAGCTTGAAAGTCAAACAGCTGTGCAAGAGTGTCAAGGTCCCAGACTCTAATTGATTGATCAGCTGATACTGTGGCCAGGTAACGGTGAGTCAAATCAAATGACATGGCTAAAATTTTGTCAGTGTGTGATCTCATCAGAGTCGAGTAGGTCCTTGCTGATGTATCTAACACACCAAGATTTCCCTAACAAAAGAATATACCCCATCAATTCTGAGAAACATTCAATCTAAACATTAAACATGAATGATTGATACATAATTTTTTTTGACACTTGAAAGCTGTTGTTGTTTGTGATTGTTTTCCAAGTGAATGGCATTTACTTAGTTCACCAGCAGTGGGCACTGGCAAAGTTATCATCCTGCCCGTCTGGTTTAGTTTGTTCTGTTTTAAGGACAGAGAAGTAACATACAGCAATTTTGGGCAGGAAGGGACTAGGATAGCAGCAAGACACTATGGTCACATGTCACATGACTTTTTTCTAACCAGTTAGAGAGCTTGAGAAAATTAATAATACCAGTTAAGTTCAGATCACTTGTTACTACTTGTTATCTTAGCCTTGCAGTCCACTTNTGCACCTCTTATGACTCATTATTTTGGTGGGAACCTCTCTTTATACTTGCTGTGCAAATAAGAGTTGAAACCTCTCTCTAGAAGAGCTGTAAGTTATGAAAGAGAGCAGCTTTTGATTGCCTTTAAATTGGATGATCCTTAGCAGTTTTAATTTGATAAACCAAAATTTAATAAAATGCCCTTTTCCTGGCTGCAGTCAGCAACAACGTTTCAGTATTTTGCTTGACTTTTACCTTCACTTTTATCATATAAAGCCGTCTACACGTAAATTGGGCACATTACCAAAAACACCATGTACGTATATCAGAAATTCACTTCATCACATGACTCGGAAAAATATTTTGTTGCCAATAATCCCCTAAACATCTCTACCCCTAAGCCTATACCTTTACAGGCAGCATCAAGTATGAAGAAGAGGAAATATTCTAGCTACTGTATTCAATCGAAATGTCATTCAGGCACAAATGTTACTAACCAGCTTCTAGGAACACAGTTGAAAAATCTAGGGGCCATAATCGAAGGTAACCATCATCTGATCCAGTAGCACAGAATGACTCATTTACACAGAGTGAATTTAGCCTGATTCCAAACTCAGTTGGAGTAGTGCCACCATATTTGCCGACCGGATCATGGCGAGAACCAATAGGAAGGAGTCTGATGACTTTGTCCAGTATGATCTTCTGATAATCAATCTGATACATAGTGCCTTGAGTAGTGCAAGAATATCTGCAGAGTAAAAAACACTGACAATTTACTTGTAGGGAAATCATTAAATGTTTTCAGCAGGAGGACAACTGGTTTTCACCGGTGGGCAAAACTATTTGAACTGAACTTCTTCATTTAAACCTGGTGGGCAAAATCGTCCTCAAAGCCAGTCAATTTGCCTGGTGCCTGGCCCTATAATGAAACCCCTGTACATGGTAAAGATTTAATGTTCACTTAGTAGTTACACAAAAGTTTAAACCCAGCCCGAGCTTTGCTTTGTAACAGGAAAAGGTCTGCAAATTACAGATGAGAGCTAGAAGAAGGGATTTTAATGCAGTTAAATGCAATTTAACAGAGTTAATAACAAAGAGCGCCTGCATTCCCATAGTGGTCAGCAGTGTTTTGAAATGCGCATGCACCAGGACTTCATGTGCTCCTGGACTAAGACATGTGTTAGCAGCCTTCACAGCCATAACGTTTACAGTGAGCATTGTTTTGCATGGGAACACGTCTTCAGGCATTCTCCCTCCCTTCCCTCCCTCTTTCCACTGTTAAGATGATTCCTTAGTTTAGCATTGCGCATCCCTACTGCGCACGATTTTCATGTCATTAGCGTGTGCACATGAGCATGTGCGCATACCAAACGAAAGAGATTTCCCTCAAACTAAGCTCCATAGCGAAATAAATGCTCCTTTTCTCTTAAACGAGCATGGTGAGCCCGACTTTATATTTCATAATTTCAGTGAGAACAATATCCTCAATAACTGAGAAAAAAAATTAGCAGAAATCTATGGCTACTTTTTTGGCAAATGAAATAAATACTACAGAGGGAGACATAATGGGCCCAACAGTGCATGTCCAAATTACGTTTCCTTGAAAGAATAAAAAAGTGCAGGGTATTTGAAGCATTATTTCTGGGACGTAGCTGAGTAAACAATCAAAGAAAGTCAAACTCTGTGTGATATAACATGCTGCATTGAAAAATAATCGAGCTTATTTGNCCTCCCACCTAAAAATTGCATAATAGCATCTAAGGTACATGCATTTCTGCAACTCCAAGTTCAAATTTATTAGAAGACTTTCAAATTCACAAATTAAAGGTAACTCTCTGGCCAGAAATTTAACAGAAATTGAAAACTTGTACTTTCTCTAAAAGGTAAATGTATGCTCATCAGGCTAAAAGCCTAGCTAACCATTGGAAAATTATCAGCTACTCACACTTTCCTAACTGTAGGATCTGCACTCAAGGGATCCTTGTCTCCATAAGCTATATCAGTGAAGTTAGCAGAACCATGACGACCAAGATCAAGTGGACAAGACCTCAAAGAGCCATGACGGATTCGCCAGAAACGGATGTTGTCGTTACCACATGAGACCAACCTTAGAGAAGATGACATTTATTTTTTTGCATTCATGTCATAAAGTTAACAGATTTGATTTGAGAAAATTCAAAAATTATGTTACTTAAAAGAAATGTTAATTTATTTCCATGTTACAATGCTACATAATCACTTAACTTCAGAATCTATAAATTAATGCATATTTCTCTTTTGTCAAGCAAATCAAACAAATTATCAACAACAAAAGGTTTGGACTTTGACAAAATTATCTGGTATTGTGATCATGAATAAGAGTTGATTTGTTGCCCCATGCAGTGTAGGTAATCTTCACTTGAATGAAAATAGGGGACATGCAATTATACAGCACTTAAGGTATTTCCTCTGAAATAAAAGTGACAATAGATTTTTGTTCAAACTTTGTCCACTGAATATTTGTCATATGATAATTTCAATTTTGAAA